GGCCTGACAGAAGAGGATTCCTCCTGGAAGTGGATCAGAGAAAGGCTAAAAGAAGAGCTGTCCTAGGAAATGAGTGGGATGTAAAGTGAAGAAAGCACAACAAGCAAGGAACAGGTATTCAAACCTCTTAGCCAGGGTTCTTCCCGGGGTATGTGACACCGCCCACCCCACTCCCTCTCCCCCCAACTCTGGGAGTACTAAGCAGACTTAGTGGCAGTGGCAGGATACCTTTCCTCTCCTGGTCAGTAGTGTGGTCCACTGGGAGAATTAAAGTTAATGAATGAGGAGAACTGGTGCTATAAAATTCAAATATTTTATCTTGACGCATTGTTAACTGTAAAGTTGTCTTAAAGGGACATACCAAAAAAATTAAGCATACTACATCTACCTTCTTCCACTTAATACTGGGTTGAAATTACTGCCGTATACAAGGCAAACGTATCAGACAAACAATGCGTCAAAATGCAACCCAGTCAAACTGAGATACAGACCGAACTACAGAAATTGCCACAGTTAGATCTGTGGTCTAGCCAGCGTTTTATGGTCAGCAGGGGCCCCAAGAGAATCTATCATGAGAGGATAGGCATGTTTTCATTGACATCAAATCCTATTGCCTGACTCAAACCATCCAACTACTCAGCTTTTTTTCTGACTTACAGCTTCTATTTTCCTAGGGACTAGGAAACAGATAGCCAAGTTGATAAATATGTGTCTGTTAGCAGAATCAAACAGGCAAAGCATAGAGTCTATTGAGGAATGTTGTGAAGGGATATTGAATCGGAGAATCCTGTACAAATGAGATTTTATCATTGTCAATTAGGTGAGGAGTGGGGGTCCAAGGGCAAAAAACAAAGGCTACATAGGCTGGTAATTTCTTCATAGGTTTTTTTTTTTTTCTGCCTACATTGGTTTTAAATCACTATTTCTATTCAACATCTTCCTGGAGGTCCCAGCTAGAGCATTAGGGAAGACATGAAATAAAAGGAAGAAATAGAAACTAACATTATTTGCATTTGTGATGATTGATGAAATACACAGTAAATCCAGAAGTATCTATAGATAAAATTAACAAGTCAATTTGGCAAGTTTGCTGGATATGGGTCGATACAGTTTTCCCGTATCGTAGCAACAACAAAAATCAGAAAATAAAAAATTAAAAACATCATTTACAATAACATACATACATAAAGATCAAATAACTAGGAATATATCTAAAGAAGAAATATACAAAAGCTCATCATTGAAAACCATTAGAACACTTAAAATAATTGTTAAGACTTAAATAAATGACTCTGGTCATAAATTAGGAGATATGATAATATCAAACTGTCAATTCTCCCCAAAATGATTTACAGATTCAATGCAATGAGTCAAAGTGTCGGGAGATTTTATTTATTTACTTATTTATTGGTGGAAATTGACAAGCTGATTCTAAAATTTATATGGATATTTGAAGGACCTACAGTAGCAAAGGCAATCCTGAAGAACAAGCTGGAGGACTTATATTAAACTAGCTATCCAGACTGTCTATGACATGGTCATTCTCGAAACTGTATGATGTCACCACCAGAAATTTCATCCCGGACCCAAAGTACCCAATTCACTTCTCACATGTTAGCTAGTTTAATTCATTTTCCCTCTAAGTATTTTTCTGTGATCTCCATAACCTAAACAGTTACAGTATTGGTTTAAGTCATATCTTAAAAGCTAATGTATAATGGCATCTTACATACCTCATAAACAATCATTAAATCCGTGTTAATTCTTTGTTTTTCTAGCTAACTTTTAAATCTTTTCTATGAAATAAGAAACAGCTTGAGATTAAGTTTAATGTAGCTTCTCTAATAAATATTGCTTTTTTAAAAAATAGAGAATGCTTCTTATTCTGGAAAACTGTAAGGACTGGTTATAATACAAGTCCTTTCCTAAGATAATTTTTGAGGAGAATATCTTACTAGATGTTAACTGGACAGATATGATACATTATGTACTTGAAAAAAATGGACATTTGCCCGATTCTTTGCAGAGAAACATCCAAGGATGCAAAATTGAATAAATCAGACATTTTTATCTATAGCTGAAAGGCAGGGAAAAAGGAGACCAAAACTTTGGCCACATATATATATTTTTTAAATCTCCCAACGCAACTAATATCACAGAAAGGAAAAGTGCAATTCAGAATACACTAGTAACATGCAGAAAACATAGGCAGCACTGCTTTTATGAAGTAATTCCCATATTTTATGGGTAAGTGACCAAAACCATAAATATTCCTCCTCTAACGTGGATCAACTATAAATCTCACCAGGCTTTTAAACTCCATTATTATTTGTTCTGTTTAACTGCCAATTCAGACCCCACAAATACAAAGACAACTGTTCACAGACCAGCGTTTCTGGGCCTACTCCAGAGACAGCGTTCGATACACTGGAGGGTTCTGCCTGTTTTGAAGCTTGTGGCCTGAAATTACTTTTCTTCCTGGCAGTAATTCCAAGTCCAGCAATATTTTTAACATTAAAAATAACTCCCTCACTACATTCCTTGAAATTTCTACAATAACTGTTCTATTTTATACTCTAATTTTAAATAATTCATTTTGTAATGAGAAACTTTGTTAATAAGCTAGCTCTATTTGAACTTTGCATAAAAACCTGTCACAAACCCTTTTGTAGGAATTTTCCTTTTGGATTAGCTGAGTTGATAAACATCAATTTCAAGATACCTTATAATTATCTTACTAAAATCTGGAGGAGACTCATTCACAGTAAAGTCAAGGGCATCTTAACAATATTAGAACTAGCTTAGACTCCACAGGCCTCTAATGACAATCACAGCCAAAATCACCATCAAGAAACAAGTATTTATCCTAATTTTTTTTGTATTTATCCTAATTATTTATTCATCTGTATGACCTAGGTAATATCATAACCACTCAAATCTGCTTAATCATGTTATTATTTAGAGTTTGTTCTGTGAATCATGGATTAAGAAAAAATAACCAGGGGCATCTGTCTGGCTCAGTCAGAAGAGCATGTGACTCTTGATCTTGGGGTCTTGAGTTCCAGCCCCACATCGGGTGCAGAAATTACTTAAATAAATAAGAACTTAAAACAAACAAACAAGTAAATAAATAAATGTTGCCATGAAAAACTGCATGTTCCCACATAGCTCGTAAGCTGTTTGAATGAGTGCTTGAATTTTTCAGAGTTATCTTTTAATAGCTAATATGATCACAGACATTATTGGAAATATGCTAATGGATATACGTATAAACATGAAGTACTGCATAACTATGGGAAGTCTCCTTTGGCATCAATCCCTCTAAATGTATTTGTAGAAATTTCCAAATATACCGTCTCAATCCTAAACGCAGTTTTCAAAGTAAGCAAACTAGATAACCTTATTTTATTGTCTGCCTTGGACAAAAAGACATAAGCTCAGATGCTTCAGCCCACAGCACAAAGGGAGTGTTCTAAGAATAAAAAGGGGGAAATTAAAAAAAAAGGGGGGGGGATTCAGGAGGACCTAGGCCTTATATTTTAGAAAGAAGAAGAAGAAAAATACCTCAGTTCTTCACCGTCACTCAACTTTGCCAGTGATTCCATTCTTGATAGACTCACTTACCTACGGCACTTTTTAAAAATTCAGATTTTTGAAAATGATAGTCTGAACATGTGTTTATCTTTAAACTTCCTCTCCAAATCCTACTAAAATGACAATTAAGAAATTAAAAAAGCATAAACCCTTATGAAACAGAAAGTGAGTGGGGCGGAAGTAACAAACATTTAGGTTATGGAAAGGAGAAATCTTAATATCTTAAGGGTAGTTATTCATAAAATCCTATAAAGACTCAGGAATTGGAGGTATCCCTGAAATATCAATGAGGAAGGATACTAAACAGAAAAATGTTAAAGTCTGTGGAAGAAACAATTAGAGTTTAAGATCCGTAACCCTACTCCATATAGCAAAAACACTCCCCCTCTCCAGTTGCACAGAAGATGGGAAGTTTACTCTCTGGAGTAAATGAACCAGGAAGGTTCCTAGCACAGTGGGAGCAGGGGTGAAGCATCATACTGGACATAAGAGATTATATGAAAGTCCATTCTTTTGTTGATAAAGTATAAAGTGCACTGTGCTTAGCAAGAGAAGGAAAAACAGGGAAGACGTTTATATTTATTCCATGAAGCATATCACAAATTATGGTCCGTCCACCACATTCATCAACCTCTATTCTAGAAAGAGCTTATGGAAATGACAGAACGTCTAATAAATCTCTTAACTATAGAAAATTTCAATTCCCTACTAAAGTCATATTTGTTAAAGCAAGTTTTGGCAAGCTATGTAGCAGCACAGTATGATGAATGGAAACCCTGTATGAGTCTGGGACAAAGAGACCCACAACATTCTAACTGGGTACCAACAGAAATGTTCACATTTGATTGTCTAGTCCTAAAATTCCCCTTCTTTCCCTATCATCACTACCTCCACGATTATTTCTTTAAAAAGAATAATCTAAATTACATTTTAATTGTATATCTACCAAAGAAAATGTGTGAGAAAAACAAATTATGACATAAAGCTCTTCCAGAGTACAAAGATCTACCCCTGCAGTATTTAGACAGCTTGGATTTTTTAACTGGTCCAATAACTTTCTATGCTATAAATATTGAAAGATTTTACAACAGTCTGGGTCAGAAGGAAAAAAGAACACCAGAACCCATACATAAAGCATGCCATCATAAATCTGGAGAAATTTATAATATCATTAAAGCATTAATATTGTGTGTTATTCTAGCTGAAACTCTGTACTATTTGTAAAAGAAATCCTCTTGATAAAATGCATCAATGTCGAGTTATTATTTACTCACTGGATGTATTTACTGGTGGAGTCATATGCGCCACTGCTCCTAGGGCTACCCAACACTATCCCTCCATATTTAACTTTTTTTGCCATTGACTCCTACCACCAAGCCTGAGAGCTCCAGATCAAGGTCACAGACCTTCTCCCTCAGCCACATCATAACGGTCCAACTTGGCTTCTTTATGTTGTCCTTCTGCCACCTTCACAGCAACAGCTCGGCAAATGGCCCCAAACTTCCTGTCCAGAGAGCGAACCCCTGCCTCTCTGGTATACCTGTCATCAAAGGAAAGTATTTTATTTTTGGCTAAATACCACCTGTAAAAATAGACAGAAATAATATAACATTTACACTAATGAAACAGTATACATTTAAAAGTTCATTATATTTTCTTAAGTAGTAACTTCCTTGCATTTAAAAAATTCCTCCTTAAACTACTGTTATTTTTTTAAAATACTCAGATATATTTTCAGCTATAACCTTCCCCTTTATAGGGACTTTTATCTTCAACTATTATCCTATACTTAAAAATGAATCCTTGTTTCTTTAATTTATACTGCCAAAGTAAATTTGGCAGCACGTAAAACATCATTTACTCCTTGATGATACATGTAAGAGCTTTCTTATGCAAAATTTGTCAATTTAAGAAAAATCTAGATGAATTTATTACACTTGAAATATAGCTGAAAGAAACAGAAAAATAAAACTTTTTTCCCAACTAAAGCAAAAATTAATCTTAGACAGAAATTTAGTTTTCACTAGGAACTGTGCTTGTCACCTCTATTCAGTGTATTTTCTTTGAGACTTCTAAAGAAGGGAAATATGCTGATACAAGCATAGTCAATTTGTGGAGATTCTAAATGTGGTTAAGCAGAGCTTTCTTAAAAAAACTTAAGTTAGACTCAAATTCTATAAGCCTCTTCACAAACCATTATATAACACAACCATATTTGGTCACCCAGCTTTGGATAGATTTGAATGGGTAGCATCAGGTAGAGAATATAGATGTACCTGAAAAACTGGATTTGATTAGACAGACACATATTCTAGACTTTAGGGAATCAGATTTCAAAAGTTCTGAGAAAAGACAAATAAAAACTCTTGGCAAAACACTCTAAAGTAAAACTCATTTCAATCCAAAGGATAGGAGGCAATCAGCATAAAGTCCATTATTACACAACTGCATATACTTTCAGTAAGGAAGAAAACAGAGAGGCATGTTAAAAATAAATGAACTAACATGTAAAAACAAAAGCAAAAACCCAGTGTAGCTTCCTAGACAACTCGCTGATGGGCTCAGATTAAAGGGTCTGGACAAAAGATGAAAGAACAGAGATTGAGGAAGTTTACAGGGGAAAGACATGAATGTGCAGAAATGGTACCAGGAAGTTCGGGAGAAACTTCCAGAAATAATAACATCTACAACAACATAAATGAAATACTGTTTGTTTGTTTAAAGTGGTCAATAATGAGTCAGGAGCTAATGTAGATACCAACATTAACAGCTGAAAGAAACTAGACACAACAACCCTTTTTTAGTATTTTAAAATCAAAAAGGGGAGAATCACCAGTATTCAATAAAAAGTGGCGGATGTTTCCTATATGAACATGAAGATACTATATATGCCAATTTCCAGAGGACCTAAAACTAATGATAATCCAGATGAAAATGAAGTCCATTTGCTGCAATGGTAGCTGGAACCAATAAAATATATGTAATTGCAAACTTCTACATTTGGGTTTTATAAAATTCAATGCTGCCCTATAAGTACAGAATGAGACCAAACTCAGCAGAAATTTGTATGAAAAACAACTGAAGATGTTCAGTATCTGTAGGCACAACAGGCAAGAGAATAACCTAAAAAAGCTAAGAGTCATGAGATACAGTCATAAAAAAACATAATCAAAATAGGAAAGCTGGTGGTCTTACACCATCAATTCCTCAGGCCACTTGTGAAATATTGAGTTCCACTCTGGCTGTTTCATTTTAAAAGGGACACTGGTTTCACAGGCAGCACTCAGAGATGACTAATTAGAAAGGTGAAAGTCTTGAGAGTGGGTAACGAGGAATGGTAAAGAGAACAGAATGTTTAGCTTGAAAAAGAACATTTATAGGAAGTGGATCTGACTTTTTTTTTAATGCCAGAAGGGCTATACAAGGGAGGGATTTACCTTTAGATTCCAGATGCTCCTATAGGGCAGAACTAGAAAAATTACAGGGAGGTGAAAATAAAGATTATTTTGTAACAATTATTTACTTACCTATTTGTAGACCGCAGTGAGCCCTCTAGCACTGGAGGAACTCAACAGGCTAGTTATGGGGACACACACACACACACTAGATGAGATCTAAGAACACCCTCCCCCCGAACATTAGGAATCCAGGACTATGACACACAAAAAGATGAAAAACACATCAAAAGATGAAAAACTATAATCTAATCTCGGTAAATTACTAAATAGCCAACACTGCTTGGAGTAGCAAATACCTGTACTGTTTTTAAAAATATTGAAACTGTTCAGAGACATTTCCTAATGTCCATAAGCTTTTAATATTTGATGTTTTGAGCTAACATATATATTAAAAAGAAATAGTTCCCCAAGCAACAACTGGGAAATACAAATAATGATTACTTTTCAAAGTCAGTATTATTTCGATCCAGATATTTTTTTCCTCTCACTCATATTTTACAGATGGGGAAGCTATCAAAAAGGTTAAGTGATTTGTTGAAAGTTACCCAAAGGCATTGGGGTGTTATCTGGAATAATATTATTGTTGGAAGACTTCGGCATATAAATCACCTAATTTATTTCTCCTAGCATTATCCAGGCAATGAATCACAAGTTAAGAAAAGGAACTCCCAGGTCAGATGTAGTCTTACTGTTTTATGTATAAATTTAAATAGACTTCCAAATAGACTTCCATAAGAAGGCTGGCTTAGATCAAAAAGCGGTCTGACTGGCCAAACTCTAAGTCAAAGATCAAAATGGAGAGATACTTTGCTTCTCCTGAAAAACAGCAGTTACTGTGAGAGGGCCGCATGAGGAGCATTTGGCAGCCTGACACAATTCGCCAGATGATGCAATGGATCTGTAACACTGAGCCAGGAAAACTGTAAGAGGCTGTTGCAGATATAAATTCTCAACAGGGTATATTTTCCATTCAAACATGCAATCTATAAATCAGACGAAGCAATACTCTACTCAGATAATTTACATCCTGCTTGCTACAGGCTTAAGGACTTGGTAGCTAACTCAGGAAAGCACCCTCTATTGTTCCAGTGTTAATTCTGAAGATGAAAATTGTTAAGGATATTTAAAATCTCTCAAAGAGAAGAAAATCTGAGTGCCTTAAGACAGGTGTTTGAAAGTAGCAATGCACTTCTTAAGAGAATTTAACTTTTAACATCCTGGGGCATATGGGGTGTCTCAATATTTTCCTTGTTTTTGGTTCTCAATTTATCAAATGAATCCTGTGCACTGCTCTAGTGAAAAAGCTAAAATTCTGGCTCAGCTAAAGTTCTCAGCTATGAAGACACTCTAAGCTCTTTCTGTCTGAATTTCTGCATAATATTGAGCCCTGTGTAGATCAAGTTATGGAGGGACACCTGGGTGGCTCAGTGGTTGAGCATTTGCCTTCAGCTCAGGGTGTGATCCTGGAGTCCTGGGATGGAGTCCCACATCAGGCTCCCTGCATGGAGCCTGCTTCTCCCTTCTCCCTATGTCTCTGCCTCTCTCTCTGTGTCTCTCATGAATAAATAAATAAAATCTTTTAAAAATTTTTTGAAAAAGATCAAGTTATGGAAATACTTGCTGGGATTCTGGTGGAGAGAAAGGAATGGTTGCTATGAGTTGCCAGTAAAATTGTCCCTTTTTTCTTTTTATACTCAAACAATGAGAGGCCTCAGGACAATTGACTAACCTGGTGATGATGTCAAGAGTAGTAACCTGTGGGATCTGAATCTGCTGAGGAGTCAGTCCATGCTGTTCCAGTTGCTTTGGGATCAAGTGCCTGTGAGCAATCTCAATTTTCTCCTCTTGTGTATACCCTAGGGAAAAAAGTGATCTTATTTTGTAATTATTCACACAGCTTCCATAGTGCCACATTTTTTAAAAAAAAATGAATCAAATGCAGATTTAATGGATCTTGGACTTAGAATGAATTTATTAAGTGTTACTTCAACTAAGATTATAATCAGAATAAAAAATTTAATATCCAATTAAACTGTTAAAATTTCCAATTTGTCCGCAAACAAAAAAAGCATTTACTAAGCACAGCTTTGAAAGTCTCTTGATTAAATAATATCTCTCTTAAAGAAGAGGAAAACTCTTAATCAAATGTCTAAGATAATTCTCTCAACTCAAATGTGAGTTTTATTATTTAATAGGCAAATAATACATCTCTTCTCTTTAGCATGATTTGATACCTAACTGCAACAACTTAAAACAGCAAGTAAGTGGAATCCCAGGGCAAGAGCTGCAAGGGAGCTATTTGCAGAACTCTGGCTATAAATTTAAGTAACAAAACAGAAACTAAGATGTCCTCCTAGAAATTTTTTCCCCTCTACATGTTGGAATTATACATATCATTTATATAGTTAAAATACTTTATGTTATTTATTTAAAAACCTCATGAGTATAGATTACTTTGTCTTTAAATCCCGTAGGACAAAATTTTCCCTAAACAAAAGGCCCCCTTTCCATTCAACAAGCAAAAATAAAAAAGGTGAACTGATAAGACAGCTTTTAAGTAGATAAAGGAAATAAAAATGCCAAAAAAGTAGAAGACAGGATAACCAAACCTACAGGAAGAGACTGGCATCATATGTCCACCCATGTATGGTTGTCCTGATTATTTCACTTCATGTCAGTGTGTTTTATAGATTCTCTGCCTTAATTGGAAATTTCCAGGCAATTAGGTCTCTTATTTAGTCTTTTTTTTTTTTAAGATTTTATTTATTTGAGAGAGCGAGAGAGAGAGAGAGAGAGAGAGCACACAAGTAGGGAGGAGGGGCAGAGAGAGAAGCAGACTCCCACTGAGCAGGGAGCCCAATGCAGAACTTGATCCCAGGATTGTGAGCTGAGCTGAAGGCAGACACTTAACTGACTCAACCACCCCACTGCCCCTATTTTAGTCTTATAAATATGCACAAAGCAATTTTTAACTCTATCATATTTTTAAAATAAGTATTAAAAACTAAAAGGCTTACAGATAACTAAGAAATGCAATAATCACTCACTTGATAGTAAAAATTTATTTCAGGTTAATATGAAATACCTATTTAGTTCATATTTAGAATCAAAAAATATATTGATTCTTCCTATTTTTCATTATAACAAATACCCACTTACGTTTCATCTCTTCTAGGGAAAAATAATTTTAAGTAATTAAAAGAAGGAAAATAATCATAAACAGGTTTATTTAGTGTTAGTAACTAAAGGACTTTATTTTACACACTCCAGTGAAGGAGAAAACATGGTTAAAAAAAAAATAGGGAAAAAAATAGGGAACTACTTGACAGAAATAACTAAAAAGAAGACATAGTAAAAAGTTTAAAATCTTATAGACAAGAAGGTAAACTGACCATGTAAAGATCTATTTTTGGTTTGAAGATACTCATTTTGAAAAAAAAATTTTTATATATTTGTTTAAAAATGGTTTCAAAGAAGAATGTCTTATTTTCTAAGACACTGGAAAACATTTTTTTTTAATGCTAAGAATGTCTTAATGCTAAATTAAGTCTGAAATTGTTATGCAAACTTTATTCTTGGTGACTTACAGAACACATACATAATCCTGTATGTCATGGCTAAAACAAAGTTTTGTTGTTCCAGACTTTGAATTTACATAAAAGCTGGTTTTTAACAGACTTAGAAGTTTGAAGATCATATACTGGCAAATCAATTTTTTATTTAAACTCCACTGCAGAACTTAAGAGTTTTGCTTAGAAAGGCAAAATATATCAAATAATGATTTTATTTATGAATAAGGTACCTGGGACCTGAATGATCTCCATTCTGTCCAACAAGGCAGGTGGAATAGTCGCAGTGGTGTTGGCAGTAGCTATAAAAAGAACTTGGGAAAGGTCAAAGGCCACATTTAGATAATGGTCTGTGAAGTTATGGTTTTGTTCGGGATCCAACACCTGTGAGAGAACATAAAAATTTAAATAAATTCAGCAATTCCAATAGAAAGCTAAAACACAAACACATATGATGTATTAGCAAGGTTGATATTTCTGTTCAATACAGTTAGTTTGAGAAAAACGGGGATAACACTAAAACCCAAGCACCATTCTTTACATTCCCTGCATTCTAAATACTTAAAAAGAAAAAAAGTTCAATGTCAAAATTTTTGAAAAAATATGAAAGTACAAAGAAGCAAAAATTACTCCTTTAAGCTCTGTTCTTAAGTCTATTTACTAATGACTGATTTGGTGGTCATAAATAAGTTACCAATCCTACAGAACCAGTTTCTCTCTTGGTAACACATCCTCTCTTAACTGCTTTGGGAACATAAAGTAGATGTATAGAGTATTTTCAAATTCTTAGGTAAGACAAAATAATTAGTACACGTCTCAAACATTATCAGTAAATCTGGTTATAAAGTCTTTAACTGAAAAGAGATTCCAAACAAAAGTAAACAAGTAAAAATTACTAGGCTACTATATTCTGATACAGCACAAGGAAAAATTCACTTTTAAGAGACATTAAAAACAAAACTTTTTTTTTTTTAAGATTTTACTTATTTATTCATGAGAGACACACAGAGAGAGAGAGGCAGAGACATAGGCAGGAGAAGCAGGCTCCCCTGCAGGGAGCCTGATGAGGAACTTGATCCCAGGACCTTGGGATCAAGACCTGAGCCAAAGGCAGATGCTCAACCACTGAGCCACCAAGGTGCTCCCCCAATTTTTGTTTTTAATGAGCAAAATATCAGTATCTCTTAAAATATTTTAACTGGGAAATTATTTAATTCATAAATTAAATTCTTAAAATGCTGAATTAGATATGAGAAAATATATATTCTTTAGGTTACTACTCAAATGCTCCAAGTCACAGGCACTCATTGTGGAGAGGTCTACACAGGACTTGGTGTCTTCTACATGTTCTTAATATTTAACATATTATATTATCACCTTTAATTATAGTAGATTAGTATAAATATTAAACAAAGTTGACATACATATTCAAAAAGGAAGTAAATGGACTAAAATATTTACCAATGATCATTTTTACTACAGCACAAGTTTTTCCTTGCTTCTGATTCCCTTTCTAAGCTTTAATTATTGCTAAATATTTCGATAAGTTAGTCTTAAATTAAAGCCTTTTACAGAGAATCTTGAATTTGGTAAACATTCATTACTGGAAACTCAGTGCTTATCTAGAACACAATTTTCAGAAAGTTCTACTATTCATATTTTCACAAGACTTAATAATGTTTAACCTTATAAAATAAGGTACTTTTGAGACATCAAAGACCATACTAATTATGCCCAGTACAGAACTGGTTAAGAGTAATCTTACTGTGTACCAATTATCTGAAACTTTTAATCAATGTATGGAAAATAGGACAATCTTAGTTAAATCTATTAAATAAAAACCTATTCTTTAATGGCTCTAATTAAATCCAGTATATAGGGCAGCCCGGGTGGCTCAGCAGTTTAGCGCCGCCTTCAGTCCAGGGTGTGATCCTGGAGACTTGGGATCTAGTCCCACATTGGGCTCCCTGCATGGAGCCTGCTTCTCCCTCTGCCTGTGTCTCTGCTTCTCTCTCTCTCTCTCTCTCTCTCTCTTTGTGTGTGTGTGTCTCTCATGAATAAATAAATAAAATCTTAAAAAAATAATAAATAAAATCCAATATATACATGTTGGATAAGTTTTAGAAATGGCTGTGAGACCTGTCCAAGTAATTTTTTTCTCTTAAAATGAAAAGACAATGGAGTTTAAAGAAAGTAGGGAAATTAATAAATGAATGTTTCTCAAGTATGAACGAGGTCTTTTAAGAAATGTATTACAGGACATTTGGGTTATAAGAAGAGAAAGCCAGTGATGCCCAATTTGTTTGCCTCTGTTATCTAGGAAAACACAAAAAAGAATATTAGACATTTATCAAACACTTCTTGGACTTCTGGTTAAGATCAAGTACACAAATACTGATCAGTAGCCAGATAAATAGCATTTCTAGTAATCACCATTCAAATGACACCTTAAAGTAAACTGGTGAGTCCATGGAGAGATAAAAATCACAGTAAGAACTTTTTTTTAAAGGATTTTATTTATTTGAGAGAGAGAGAGTATGAGAGAGCATAAGAGGGCGGAGGGGCAGAAGGAGAGGGAGAAGAAGACTCCCCGCAAAGCAGGAAGCCCTATGCCCTGAGATCATGACCTGAGCTAAAGGCAGACGCTTAACTGCTTAACCCACTGAACCATCCAGATGCCCCACAGTAAGAACTTCATAGCTACCAAATCTCTGCTTTTTTCCCGGAACTTTAGAGCCAGGGCTTCGATGGACTAACTCAGCTACAAACAGAAGTTGTTTTCAAGATCAGTTAGAGCTATTTTTTTCTCTCTTCTCAATCAAATGTTTTTCTAAATCCATGCTAGGACTGTAATTCCTACCTACACAGTCCGACTGGAAATGGAAATAGCCATGATATAACACTTTATTCTTAGGATCATGAAATCAGAGGTGAAATAAACTATGGAGAGGCATGTATGCTGAGAATTGTTTTTCAATAACAATTTCTGGCAAGAGAACTACAGATGTTTGAAGGCAATCCAGGAGTACACTCTACTCATTAGAGATGACTAGGTAACTATCATCTTTAAGTATGACAATATGGTTATTTTTTTTTAAAGTCTGTATTTTTTAGAGACAGATACTAAATATTTATGAAAAGAATGTCTAAAATTTGATTTAAAATAAACAGAAGCTGGGTAGTGGAGAATGGATAGGAATAGATGAAACAAAATTGGCCAGGAGATGATAATTGTTAAGCATGAATGATGAGTTTATATGGTTCACTGTACTATTTTTTCTTTACCTTTGTTATGTTTGAAATTTTCCACAACAAAAAGTAAAAAATAAACGAAGTAAAATAAAATAATTAAAACCAACTCTGGAAGTCACACACAATACTATAGAAATCAAGTAACTGATAAGGACAAACTTGGAAAAAAATGTCCAGAACATTTTAGTAAAAGGCATTAAAGCCACATAAGGGATAGATATATAAAAAATAAAGATACCTAATTCATAGTTAATTGATATAACTACAGAAAAATCTCAACAAATGTAAAATACAGTATAATTAGAGAAATAATCAAGAAAATATTCTGGAAGATCCAACATTATATACTGAAAAACCTTATTAGATTACTCTTATGCAATAATAAATGATAGACTATTATTGAAACATAATTTTCAAGCAAAATTATGAGTAGTTTAAAATATTTTAAAACCTTAAAACAGAATATATGTAACACACATAAGACACAAAGCAAAACAAATGAACACCCATGAACCCACTACCCAATTATGATGAATTAATACCCATTTTATTTTGTGTTTAGGCTAGTGGTCACAACAGTGAAACATCAAAATGACCTACCAAAGTGCAAGCAGATACTATATATATATATATATATTCTTTACCCAAAAAACAGAAAGAAATCCAGTTAAATCCAGAAAGAAGTTCCTCTTTAAAATATTTCATGTATAAAATGGAAGAAATACCCTCAACTTGCAGCATGCAACACATCAGGAGATATCCTAGGAGAAGAGTGGTGCCCTCACTTACCTGCTTGCACTGGAATTACAGTATACTGTAGTTCATGTCAGCCTGATTGTTTTTATTGATTAGAAATGAATGAATAAATGGAATAGTTTTAAAGGATTCTTGCAAAATATTATTAAACAGAGGCAAAGATGTAAACAAGAAAATGACAGAGACATTTTTATTTCTTGAATAAGCTTTGAGAGCCACATTATGATATAAAAACAATAATATAACTAGAATACATTTTTTCATTAAAAACATACTTATCTTTTAAAATTCAATGTTATATAAGTATATAATACTAGTACAATGGCACATACATGTTATACGTATATTATATATATATACTCTGTTATAGATTCAACTCTATTCCCTTAATGTGACTGTATTTAGAAATAGGGTCTGAGACAAATGGGATTAAATGAGGTCATATGGGGGGGGTCATTATGACTGGTATCCTTTATAAGCAAAGACAGAGATAGACTAGGGATGCATGGGCACAGAGAAAAGACCATGTGAGGACACAGTGAGAAGGCAGCAGGCTGCAAGCCAGAGAGAGATCTCAGGAGAAATCAAACCTGCCAACACCTTGATCTTAGACTTCCAGACTCCAGAGCTGTGAAAAGATAAATTTCTGGGGTTTATTTTATTTTATTTTTTTAAGTCATCCAGTCTATGGCAGTTTATTATCACAAACATTTGTTTGTTAAAATATAGATTTGTATATAAACAGATTTTCAAAAATTTTTACTTATACAATATGTGAGCAAATGGAGATGAGTGGTGTAGACAACAAAGACATGTTAACAAATATAAAAGGCCTCAAAACATAACCTACAAACAAATCCTTGAAAAAAATAACCTGAAGATGTATTCCATCTAAACAATAGATTAATCACAATAAAAGGACCAGAAACAATGAAATCATTTAAGCACAGAATTAAAACTAAAAATATGAAGAAACACTTCTACCAGAATGGCAGTGTAAGGAATTAATGAATTAATCATTGAGTACAAGAGATTCTCCATAAGATTAATAGCTGATTTTGCCTTAGAAACCACAAGGGATGGAAAGCAGTAAAGGAAATACTGAAAATGCTAAAGGAAAAAAAAAAACCTGTCAACCAAGAATTTTATATCCAACAAAACTATCCTTCAAAAATGAAGGAGAAATAAGGTATTCCCAGATAAAAAACACTGAGAGAATTTATAACTAGCCAACTAGACAAGAAATACTAACGGCTAAAGTGAAAGGACACTAAGCTATATCTACACAAAGAAACAAAGAACACCTGTTAAAATAACTGCATTGGTAAATACAAAAGCCAGTATAAATGTATTTTTTGTTTGTAATCTGATCTTCT